CATTGGGGTGCATAGGTTCTTTTGAATTGGTGTTTCAGGATTCTTAGGGTATAATCCCAGCAGTGGAATTGTTGGGTCAAAAGGGAGTTCCATTTTTAGTTTTCTGTGGAAACAGTAGCTGCCCCAGTCTTCATCCCCAGCAACAGTGTACTAGGGTTCCCTTTTCTCCACAACCTCACCAGTACTTGTTTGTTGATTGGTTTATAATGGCCGTTCTGACAATGTGAGATTGTATCTCATTAATTTGCATCTTTCTAATGCCTAGTGATGCTTTTTATTGTACTTTTTTCCATTACCATTTAGACTCGTTATACTTCTCTCCCCACCACAATCACTACACTGTTGTCCATGTAGCCACAGTAAATTTTAGAGTTGAAGTGAGACCAATTTACTTTGATGGGTAATCGTCAAAACAAATACAGGTTATAGTATGAACTGTGCTGCATAGTTCAGGACATTCTAATTCACTATGATTAAGATAGCACAAAGGAGATAGCGGGTCCTAAATAAATTATTTGATAAAAATGTTGAATACTGCAAAATCAGTTATGATGTCCTATTAAGTATAATGGCCATTTTATAAATGCCACAGGTTTATTAAATTTAAGAAGTTGTTTTAGTCTTTTATAATGTCTGAAGATATAAATTGGATTAAGTAAACCCTCACTATAAAACAGAAGCACTCTAAAGTGCTTTGTGGGTCAATGTGGCTTGATAAATAATCAAAGCTTATTCTATCTCGAAGAAAATGTGGGCTTATTTAAAATTATTTTTCTCTGACCCTAGTTTATTCTCACATACATTATCATCCTAACTATTTGAATATGTTCATGCAGAAAAAAAAGAAAGTATCACTTTTAGAAAAAGCAAGACCACAGTCATGTCCTTTTTCACCGAGCTTTTAAAAATCATTAAATGTGGTAGTGCTTCCAATGGTGCCTAACATGGCATAGTCTTATATTTAGCTGCTTGGATATTTCCTTGATATTTGTCACTATACTGGGCAGTGTTCAATCACAGAAACTGGATTATATATTTTTAACATTGATGAATGAACTCTTTTTCAAAGGGGTAAGAGCATGAAGACAAAACTTTGGGAACATCTTGTAAAGGTGGATTTATAGAAAGTATGATTGATGTTTATGTTTTCAGGGTATGGTTTTATATATAAAAGATATATATAGTTTTATAGTTATTATTACATTATACAATTTTAAAAAGACTATAGAGAAGAATACTGTCACTGACATACCAGTTTCCTGACTGTGCCTAAAGTCAGGTTTTATTAGATATTCGAAATGTTACAATATGTAAACAATCACTTTCCCCACTTCAGAGAATACTGTTGGTGACAAAATTTTCCTAAGGATATTTTTCCTGTAAATATTTCATATTTTATCCATGATCTCAACAATTCATCTCCTCTACATAAATTTTCTTTTTAAAAATATTTTATTTATTTATTTATAGAGAGAGGAAGGGAGGGAAAAAGAGAGGGAGAGAAACATCAGTGTGTGGTTGCCTCTCACTCAGCCCCAACGGGGGACCTGACCCACAACCCAGGCATGTGCCCTGACTGGGACTCAAACTAGAGACCCTTTGGTTTGCAGGTAAATTTTTCATCTTTATTACCTACAAGTGGCAAGAACTTGAGAAAAACTCACTTCACCTCAGGGTCTCAGATTAGAAAATACATAGGGTTTATCAGTGCTTTCTAAAACATAAGTCATTATCCCAGTAATGGGTCACAACTAATATTCTTTTTTTTTTTTAAGATTTTATTTATTTATCTTTAGAGGGGAAGGGAAGGAGAGAGGGAGAGAAACATCAATGTATGGTTGCCTTTGGTGTGTTCCCTGCTGGGAACTGGCCTGCAGGGAACTGGCCTGCAACCCAGGCATGTGCCCTGACTGGGAATCAAACTGCGATTGTCTGGTTCACAGGCCCGCACTCAATCCACTGAGCTACACCAGTCAGGGCACAACTAATATTCTTATGAAAAAAATGAAATTGACTCAATTTGATAGAAAATATAGAGGGCAAGACACATTATAAAATTAGTTTGTAAGTTTCAGTTTTTAAATATATGTATCCATATTGTAGCCAAATATATTTGTTAATAAGGTTGTAAGCAAAAAACTTAGTATCTCCTAAGTCTATGAAATTATTCTATATTCCTGCTCAAAAATTCTGAAAATGACCTTTTCAACATAGTGTCATATCCAATTTATTGCCTGATAGATAATAAGTATCTAGCTATAATGACATTTAAAGTGACTAGAAAATATTTACTCTCTCAATTAGTTAGAACCATTAACATCCATTCTTAAGGTTTTAAAAGACACCTCCTTGGGCTTTCACCCCCTCAAAAAATCCAATGAAATGCTGGGAATCAATAGTTTAGTACACATATTAATTTGTAGATTTATGCAATGTACTGTGGTAAGAAGCTGGGAGATATAAAATGACTTGGCAAGGTCCCTCCACTCATTGTTATAATTTTCAGGGAAGCATCAGACATCAAAAACAAAACAAAACAATCCTATCCATAACCAAACAGTAGAGTCTATATGGGTACTACTATGAAATACTATCATAACAATCACTAATACAAACTGTCACTTTTTTACTATCTCATTCATTTATTCATTCAATAAACATTTACTGTGTGTCAGGTATTTTTCTAGGTTGGATGTTCCTAGGTTAAAATGACATAGTACATATTCTCAAAGAACTTATATAACAAGGGAAAATATAGAAAATATAAAAAATATATCATATAGTGTTAAGTGTCATAATTAGGCATTAACTAGAGCAACTTTTCATTAGATAGTCAAGGCAGGACTCTATATGAGTAGATACATTTAAATCTGAGATAGGAATGACAAAAAGAAGACAGCCACTTTAAGCTACAGAGAGGAACACTCCAGAAAAAGAGAATAGCCAGGCAAATATCAAACCCAAGGCAGATTGGCATGTTTGAAGAACAGGAAGTGGGTGAGATTAGCTAGGGGATGAAGAGAGAATGGTAAGCGATGAGGTAAAAGATGTAGGAAGGAGCCAAACTGAGTAAAACCGGGTAAACTATGATAAAGTGTTCAGAGTACATGTTTATTGCCAGGGAGAGCCATTTAAGAGTTGTAAGCAAAGAACTTTGTAGTCTGATCTTCCTTCCTTCTTTCCAAGACTTGTAGAGCTGCTGTATTGAAAATAAATTTAACACAGTAAGAATGCAACTAAGGACTTTAGGAGGTTATTCGTTTTTCAGGTCAGAGATGGTTGTGGCTTAGAATAAGGTAGTAGCAATGAAGATAAAAGAAAATAGAATTTAAGAACGTTTTGGAAATACAACACAGAATTTGCTGATAGACTGGATACAGTATGGTTGGCAAAGAAGGGAATCGAGGACACTTCCTATAATTTTAATTTGTGCAGCTAGGAAGATAGTTTCATCAGCTGGGATAGGGAAGACCAATTTGGGGATATTGGCAGGAATCCAGAGTTTTGTTTGGGATATCTTAACTTTGAGATGCTTATTAGCCATCTAAATGAGTACTGCTAGAAAGCAGAACTGGATTTCATGATCAATGACTATTGGATTTATGAATTTTGGAGTCATCAGCAAATATATATATATAGTACTTATTGCCACAAAACTGGCACCTCCATGAGATTGTCATGCAGTCTCTTTTAATCCTGGTAACAATTCAAGGTAAATATTTTCTTTTTATATAATTATCTTCTTTTTATATGTGTGCAACTCTGATGATCAGAGTTAAACATCCTGAAAGTCAACCAGCTACCAAATGATGGCGCCTGGATGGTCTGATAGACCTTTTATTCTTTACATCATACCAGGTTATTTTATTGAAGCATTTGAATGTGAATTTGAGTCAAAGATTTTTAATTAAAAACTGTGTTTAATGTCTGTATAGTCTGGACAGAATGGTGTTCATTCAGAATTGAATGGTGTTCATTCAGAATTTTGTGTTTCTACGTATCTCCTCTGTGGCTAGTGCCACAGACAGTTCCTTTTTCTTTCTTTTCACACTACTCCCTTAGCTTGTGGGAAATGACTCTTTTCTTCTTTCTCATAAGCTGATTGCCTCTTTTCATTAACCCTTAACAGTGGCTGATAAGCAGAAATTTTTAGCCTTCTTTCACTTTACATATTCCCCCCTTACAATTTCATGGTCTCATTGCTTCAAATACTACATATATGCTTATATTGTTTTGCTTCCTCTCCAGGCCATTTCTTACTGTGTAGGTCGAAAGGTTCCAGACAGCAAGCTTCTCCGTGAGGTTAAGAGGAACGAAGTGTAGGGTCCTTGACAGTCTCATTCGTACATTATTCAGTATTTATTCACTTTTATAAACACTGACATGTTGGCTGCTTTTATGAAGTTTCAAATCTAGAGTGGCAGGCATACTGATCTACGAGAAGCGTTAACCAAGGGTAGGAGATGGCACTAAGTCATTAATGTAACATAAAGCCCTGGACCACAGGTACACAAGGTGCAAACGCTTAATTCCCCTTAGTCCCTCAAAGAGACTTAACAAAACATTTCTAGTGCATCGGTTTGGTCGAACACTTAAACTCCAATGGAGAGAGAATTCCATTATGGATGTAGGGGACGAACAAGGGACTCGGGCAGAGCGCTGAGGTGAAGCAGGCCTTGACGAGAACAAGGAACTGATTACCGAGTGGGAGGAGACCGAACACCTATGTAGAGGAAAGTGAAAAATCGGGAGTGTACATTACAACCCTGCACTTGTTAAAACTCCATGGTGAAACAAACATCTCACCCCAGTCAAACGCTGCACCGAGACCAGTCCTCAGCCACTCCACGCACCGCGCGCCAAGCCGCTCGCCCCGCCCCCTCGACCCACCGCCTCCCCGCAGGCCTGCGTACAAGTGCACAGCGGGTCCCACCTCCTTCTCTCTCTCCACCAATGAGAAATGAAGCTGTAATCCGCTACCTCTGGGTCATAGGTCACGTGATGCGTCTCCCCGCCCTCTCACCCGGCAGCCCCTAGGTTCTGGGAAGATGGCGAAGGTTTCAGAGCTTTACGACGTCTCTTGGGAAGGTAACTGGGGGTGGGGCGGGCGGGGGAAGACCAAAAGTTAAGGGAAGCGGTGCGGGACGCCTTCTGCCTTGGGGGAGCTGAATTCTCCGGTCTCTCTTCCGAACTGGAGTGCTCACTGAGCGGGCCGAGTGGAAGTGGTGGCTGAGGCTGACCTGCTCCTGGCTGCCCACCGACCAGTGTCTGCGGTGTCACTCACCTCTTCTGCTCATCGATGAACAGATCTACCTCCGCGCTAGTCCGAGGGTCCAGGGCAGCTTTCTTTGTGAGGCGGGAGGGACTGCTGGGCGGCGCAGAGGAGGCGGAGTAGGTTCCTGCTGAAGCTTCTTTGCAGCCAAGAAATACGAGACCTGTAAGGCCTTTTAATTAAGTGCTGTGTAATAAGGGCTACAACTTTGTGCCGAAACGGTGTGTAAAAGACCCATGAACAAATCTGTTCTTCTGCATGCTACTTTACATTTCGCTTCCTCTTCAAAGCTGAGTGTCTGATTTCTTCCCTTTTTAATTGCACCGTGTCCCACTCCTCCATGACACACATTTTTACACAAGACATTTCCTTCTTATTCCCTACCGGGAATTCCTTTTCTGAAGGGGAAAAGAGCTGGTTATCTTGGACGTGCGTTCAAATGTGATGGACTTCTTTCGCCATCCTAGTTTAATGTAAGGTGGAGTGTGTTCTTTAAAACTGCAACCAAACTTTCGAACAAATTTTTCCCTTCTCAAAATCTATCTTGAGCAGCAGACATGCTTGAGAGAAGATCCTTGAGTTTCTCCATCGCATGAAATTTCTGTAATTGAAATTTATATTCCCAGCATTGAACAGTCGACTTAAGTAGCTTATTTAAGGAATGCCATCTTCCAGTGGTTAAATAGTGGGCTGACATCGTGTAAAGTAATTCACTGATGGTGAAATACATCTCTCCAGCATTACAAAGTTGCAAACATGTATGGGAAAAGGTAAAATTCTTTTGCACTTGAGCAGAATTCAATGATTTATTATTGGTTTCGTGGCCTACAGCACATTGTGAATCTCAGTGTTTCTACATGTATTGGAGAATGCCATTATATTAAACAAAAATATTACATGCTTAGTGCTAGCTAGATCTTGGATGTGTGAAATCAAGTCACACACAACCCCTACCTTCATGGAGTTCACAGTCTAATGGAGAAGACAAACCTGTCGATGTGTAGTTTTAAAAGACTTGTCAGGATCTGTTTCTTAAGCTGAATGGTAGATGTGTGGCTGTTCAGTGCTTTTAAAAATGTTTTGATGTAGGAGGGATGCTTTTTATTTTTAGAAAGTGCCGTTTTGAAGGCATGTTCTGTATAGGTTTCTTAGATGATAGTATCAAGTACTACATAGTCTTCAGGGATGAGTAAATGTGTAGTACCAGGCAAGGTGATTTATACCACGTAACTTGGAATACCCTGTGGGCATTCTGAAAGGAGTGATTTAATTAGATTTAGAAGAATAAATAATAAGTATTTCACGAGTTTGTTGAGGAACAAAAAATAAAGCATGTTCAAGTGCTTTTAAACTACTGTATAAGAAGATGATATGGCTCATACCCCATGTCTCTAGCTTTGTCTTAAGCTACTCTCCCTCTTACTCTTGAGCTGGCAGTGCTGGCTTTTGTTGAATTCCCTAAATGCTCCACACTTCTCTCATATTAGGGCTGGATACATGCTCCTGGTGGTGTTCTTCCCTCATTGCCCCACTCCTGCCCCCATTATAGTTTATCATTTCTCAAAATCCCCTTCAAAGGTTATGGGTTTCAGAGAGCTTTCCATGACTGCCCTACAGCCCTTCCCCATTCCTCCACCACATTTTAAAAAGGAAAAAACAAAAAACAAAAACAATCAAACAACAAAACCTTCCCCTAATCCTTTAACTATGGGGTTTCATGCTCTGGAAGTGCTAACCCATTTTAAAATTTTCTTCTAGAATGAAGGGAGGGACCAGGCCTCTGGGTCTAGTGCCTGACAAATGAGAAGAACAGAGTTTTTGTTGACTAAATGAATTATTAATTGACCAATAATAAACATTAACAAACATTACATAAACATTACAGAAAAGAATATAAGTTTTTCTAGTGTTGGAATAATTTCTTTGTATCTTAGACTTAGGCAATTCAGCTGTAAGATACAGTTTGCTTATTTGTGAAATAAGGGTTTAGATAGACCTTCCCAGAATTGTTTTTTAGGGGACTTTTAAGAAAGAGCAGTTGAGATTTTTCTTTCAGAGACTTAATGGTTAACAGATTTTTAAAATGTAAAAAGGATCATGGGAGGACTTCCAGAAATAGCTTTTTGTTTATATTTTTTAGGAGGGAATCTCAGTTGGATCTGTGTCCTTAAGAATTCCATTGAATAGTATCATGAATTAATGTTGTGGAAATGGTTAGTTCAAAGAGTACTGTAATTTTTGTGATAGAAAAAGTGATCTCATATTTATACAAGAACTAATTATACATCTAATATTCTCCTAGTCTTTGGGTTCTATAGAATAAGTTGAATATATTGTTTATTTATTCAGCCAGTTGAAAGTTACTGAGGTTTATTATAGATTCAGAGGTGTGAAAGAGTTACAAGGAGAGTGCAGTCAGGTTTTTTGAGCATAGGGTATTTGGACAGGATATGGTTAGGATGCCTAGCGTAATGCCTGGCATGTAGTAGGCACTAAATGAATATTTGTTGAAAAAATATTAAAAATGAAGGAATTTTGTTTGTTGACATTGGCTCTATGTCCTCTCTTTTTATCTAGTTCTTAAAACAACCACAGTTTTGTTTCTGTGCTCTGCTACTCCAGTATGGTTTCAAAGGAAACCTAATGCTGGGTCTGGCATGTGTACGCATGTGTTTTGTACATCTGTACTGCATTTGTCTTTGCAGATCACGCCCTCTGAACAGTTCTTTCCTGGGTTTCTTAATGACATTAAAGTACCCATTTTCTTAGACCTTTCCTGTGCTTAGTTCTCTACATCTACTCACTTTTTAATTTTTGGTACCTTTACTGCTTCTTTCCATAGCCCTCTGTAATTTAGTATTGGTGGTTATTAAACTTGAGATAAATAGACTCCTTGCTGTATAGGCATCAGTGTTATGTGGTCTGTGAATTCCTTGATATTATATGTAAAATTGAGTGTACGTAAACATGTACTTATTTTGGGGAAAAAGGTGATTCAAAGATCTTATCAATTTCAAAGAGATCTAAAAAAAGGTTAAGTGTCTGGGCAGTCTCAACCACACCTAGTTTTATTTAGCCTATATGCTAAATAACATTAGCATATAGGCTGATTTAACATTAATTAAATGTATATTTGAATACTTTGCACCAGGCACTGTCTAGTTCTTGAAGATACAGCTCAGAACAAGACATGAGAGGTCAGTGAGAGAGAGAGGGGGAGAGGGAGGGAGGGGGCAAGATTCGTTGCCTCTAGTAGGTAGGATTGAACCTGCAACTTTTGTGTGTACAGGACAACACTCCTACCAGCTGAGCCACCCAGCCCGGGGTCTTCCTCGTTTGAAATAATCTTCTAAACCCTTATAATTTCCTGAGTGCTAGGATTGATCGGAACATTTTTTGTTACAATATTTTGTCTTAGTTCTTGGTTCTTGACACAAGAGCTCCTAAGACATTAGAATTTCTAGAACCATGTCTTTTTGTACACTGTTGAGGTGACCGGTGGCTGGAAAGCTTCAGGATGGGGGCTGGTCACTAGAAAGACTAAGGCATGATTAGGGGTTTTCAGCCTACCCCTTGACTTTTGGGAGGGGAGGGGAGAGGAGTAGAAGATGGAGTTAATCACCAGTGATTTAGTCATTCCTATAGAATGAAAACTGTAAAATCTAAACTACAGGAGTTGAAGAGTTTCCAGGTTGGTGAACACATCAAGGTGCTTAAAGGGTGACATGCCCAAAGAGGGCATGGACATGCTCTTCACTTCCATTTGGCTGTTCCTGAGTTGTATCCTTGAGAACAAACCAATAATAAGTAAAGCACTTTCCTGAGTTCTGTGAGCCATTTTAGCAATGATAATGGGGTTGGAGGAACCTGTGCTTTTTATAGCCCATTGGTCAAAAGTAGAGATGGCCATGATTTGTGATTGGTGTCTGAAATGGGTGGGGCAAGCTGGTGTGACTGACTGAGGGCTTCACCTGCTGGGTTTGATGCTAACTAACTCCCTGTAGTTGGTGCCAACATTGAGTTGAATTATTGGACATCCAGTTGGTGTTCTGGGATTTGGAGAATTGATTGGTATAGGGAAAACTCCCAACACATTTGGTGTCATAAGTGTTCTGTGGGTAGGAACAGATCTTAACTGTGTATGAGAAGATGGATTAGATACAGACACAAGAGTTTACACTGTAAATTTAAAAGTTTTACAGATAGACAGTATACCGCTACATTGTTTTAATCCTACCTTCCTAATCTCATTTTTAAGAGTATTTTTAGTCAGGTATTCATCACTGGATTTAAATAAAATAGCACTATTTGTTTCTGATTTCTGTTTACTAAGTGAATAGGTTTTATTTTTTCCACCATTAGTCTGATATCAGAAATTAAATCAGTAACAGTGTTGCTAATACATTCTTATTTTGATAGTTAAAATTATGCAAGCTATATAATTTGATGAAGTTCAAAGCTTGAAGATACTGTGTGTGTGTGTGTGTGTGTGTGTGTGTGTGTGTGTGTGTATGAGTTTTAAGCTGCTGTTGTCTGCAAAGCATTTATGTTTACTAATACTTTGGCATTCTAACTTTATTTCTTAAGATCCTCATGTCAAGAACCATGTGTTTTTAACCAGGCACAGAAAATATAGCTCCATGGTGGTTTTGGTTGATTTTCAGATTACAAAATATTGTACAATAACAGTTTTATTAGAGATTTGAGATCATTCCTAGCAAACATAAGCTCTGTATTTTAAAACTGTTTAGTTAATAAATTTCCATGTCAGAGTTTCAAGGAAATTATACTGCAACTTTATTTCAGTATTTTTGAACCTTCCAATGTTTAATTTGGTAAAAGACAAACGGTTTTCTTCTATCTAAATTTTAAAGGACTATGCTCTTTTCTCCTTCCTTCTTCCCTTCCTTCTTCACTTCTCCCTCCCTCTCTTCCCTTCACCCAGACACTCCCCTCCCCTCTCATTGTGCCTTTTTATTGTAAAATAAAATAGAAATAGAAAATCACACAGAACAAATTTACTACTGAATTATTTATTACAAAATGAACACCCTTGATACCAGCATCCAGGTTAAGAATGAAAACTTCACCATCCTTCCCAGAAGTTCTCCTGTGTATGCCTCATGCCAATCATAGCTCCCCCTTTCCTCTCCTTATTAATCATTATCCTGATTTTTTTAGTCAATACCCAGTTGCATTTAAAAATAATTTTATTACCCAAATGTATATCCCCAGACATAATTCTTTGGTCTTGCCAATTTTTATAAAGTTTGGTAAGTTTTAAAAGTTACTTTTGACCTTTAGGTTCCCATTCTATCCTTTTGCTTTCCTTAAAATTTATCTGTTGAAGAACGTGGGCCATTTTCTAACACACAGAATTGGTCATGTTACTTTTTTTTTAGTTCATCTGCACCTTCAAAAATCAACTTCTGCTTTTTAAGCATGAAATATAAGGCCTTTTAGAAACTAAATCTTCTTTCTACCTGCTCATCTCCTGATCCCAGTCCGTTTCTTTAATTCTAACTACCAGGAGGATTTCTGTCTGGGAAGTAACCTACTTTTCTGTTTGCCTGCTGAATTCTTCAACTTTTAAGATTCAGTCCAAGGTTATTTCCTGTGCAGAGTGAGAGTGAAGATGATTTTTAGGTTTCAGTAGAAAAAATTAACTGTTGTTAATTTGTAATTTTCTAAGACCATTTTTATATATTCAGCTAGGGTCTGTTTTCATCCTATGATGATTTTTGTTTTTTATAGACTTTGAACTATATAGGGACTCAGATAATGCATATAAAAGTAGTGGAAATCCAGTGCGCTTCTCTTATATTTATTCTCTTGGGGCTTAATGTATCGTTTGTTTAACTGATTTAACAACAAGTAATGAAACTTAAAATTTATTCATCATCTATGTCTATAGAAGAAGAAGGTGGTACTTCAGACGAGTATATAAGATTTTCAGAGGTAGGAAGAAGGCACATATGTGATTGGTGAATTGGACAGTTAATTCTATGTTAACTATATAAAAGAAGAATCTTGTTTACTGGATTAGGAGTCTCCCCCAGCCCCACTTATCTCTATTATTATAAAAATGCTCTTCTATAAAACTCAAGTTTTGCATTGTATTACAATATGTCAAGTTGTCTTGACTTTTGTTGCTCACTAGTGCTTTTGCTCTTACTTTACATTATTTATATTATTTCTTACTGTAAATATAATAAAAAAATCTTTTGTTCCAATTTTTAACTGTTTATTTCCTTTGCATAGTTGTATATCTTTATACATTTTTTATTGTTGTAGTAATGTCATAAAGGAAGTTTGTGACAACCCTTCAGTGCTGATAGCCTAATATGATACTCAGATTATAAAAATCTTATATTCTTGAGACAGTAGGTCAACTTCATGAGCACCTTGAATTTTTGAGCTTTCTATGTATTACTTTATGCATTTTTCTTGGAAAATAATTTCTAGCTTTTATCAAATTCTGAACATTGTAATCTCAAAAACGTTAAGAAAAGTAATAACTTAAAGGGATAGAGGATCTTTGTAGCAGACCCCTGCCATTCATTCCTTGTAAATAGTTATAATATCCATTACAATGCTTTTATGGTCTTCCAAAGGATCTGTTTTTCTTGTTAAATTGATATTGTGCTTTTTAAATGTTGGGATACATGGACTTTTAAATTAATGTGAGTTTATTTTCTTTACTGGAAAGGTTGACTCCATTTTGTCAATTTCTTCACATTGATCAAAGATAAGCTATTTGGCCGTGTATAATGTGTTCCCATGTATAATGCACATGATTTCTTTGTGTGCATCACATGTGGGGTTATTATACCCATTGCATGCAATCATGGCTATGTATAATGTGCATTCTTATTTTTCCCCAAAGAATTGGGGGAGGAGTGCACATTATACATGGCCAAATATGGTATATATAATAACATGTTTTTTACTTTCAGAAATGCGTGATAAAATGAGAAAATGGAGAGAAGAAAACTCAAGAAATAGTGAGCAAATTGTGGAAGTTGGAGAGGAACTAATTAATGAATATGCTTCTAAACTTGGAGATGATAGTAAGTTTTTTAATATATTCCATTTGTGCTCAGCATGTGTCTGTTTACTGTTCTCAGTTTTTTTTTAAAAACCTTCTTTTACTGTTTTTTTCTAGTGTTCCTATCAATCTGTCTGTGATTTGTCACTTTTGAAATAACTTCTCAGGAAGACTAATGATACTTTATTTGGGGAAGGCTTTATAATCATTGTTAGTAGTGAGGCTATCAACTAGCTGTTTTTGTTTTAAAGCTCATGAAGCTGCAGTCCTGATCTGGTCAAAATGTATTTTCGTAAAGAATTATTTAGAACAGTAAAGGTAGTAGGTCATTGGAGATTTTTTTTTTTACTTGATAAGATTAAGTATCTTACATTGCTGAAAGCATATAAGGATGCTTTCTTTCCTAATTGCTGATATAATATAGTAAATCAATTTTCAGTTATAAGTACTATTCTCTAAAATATCAAACAGGAGGAATTTATTATGTACTATCTGTTGGGATATTTTTGTGGTAAATTTCGGTTTTGTTTTTCTCTATATGTATCTAGTTTGGATCATATATGAACAGGTGATGATTGCAGCCCTAGACTATGGTCGGGATGACTTGGCATTGGTAGGTATTTAAACTGACTATGTTTTATATTTAATATGCTGTATGGATCATATATAAGCAGTAAAGACTTTAGTGTATGGCTTGTATAGAATGCTTTCTATAGCTGGTTTTCAGTGCTACTTACTCTTTGGAGTAGGTAGGACTGAGTAGGCACTTCGACCATAGTATGTTCTTAAATTTTTTTCACAATCCTGAGAAGTAGATATTTAGTATCTCAGGTTTTACTGAGAGTTTAAATTAATGAGTGAAATTTATCCGCTTACTGGGTAAATTATGCTGTATTACAGAGTTTATAGTAAGAAGCAGATAGTTTAAAATAAGTGTATCTGTTGGATTGTTGAATGACTTCCGTAGTATATATTGTTAAATACTGTTATGCAATATTGTTAAATGTATACCTTAAAGTATTATAAAATCCTGACATGTATGGAGCATGACTTGAATTACTAATTCTGCTTTTAAAGTAGAAGAATAGTAGCTATATTTTGCACTCATCTGCTAGGTACTATGCTAAATGCTTTTACATCGTGCTTTGCTTTTCACAGTTATTTCTTAATTTGTGTTTGCTATTATCATCACATTCATTTTGTAAACAGGAAACAGAGGTTTTTGTTATTTTGTTTTTATAATTTTGAGTTCTTAAACTACTTCATACCCCTTCCTCATTTAAGCTGAAAGTATTACACAGACACAGAAAATAGAAATACCAGGAGAATGTATGCATGGCTGACTTAGCATTATCCTTTTCAGGGTAATTACATTGGGTTGGCTATACACATAATTTCAGTGGAGCTGTCAGTGGTAAAAAGTATTCCGCAGAACCTTTTTGGGTTACTTTTAGAACCTATGACATAGTTTTTTGAATATTCACAGAAGTAGTAGTTTGTATCTTGAGGGAAATTTTGAAATATTTTTGAAATATTTTATTTCAAAATAAAATAACATTTTATCAAATGTTACTTGATAAAATAGATCAGATTAGATAATAATATTGATAAACAAATGAGGAGACCAAATTAGGTAACTTTTTGTAACACTATGTATCTCTTAACGTTTCAGAATTTTTACACAGCTCGATTGACCTGGTAGTATGAGTTTTGCATGATATCAAAGAAATAAATGAACATCATTTTCAGTTCTGACCAACTTGAATATTTTCCTTAGCATGGCAAACTTTCAGCCACACAGTTTGAAGCTGTATCTCCATGTGCTTCTATTACTAGTTAATAGTTTTTTCATTAGTTAAAGGCATTTTTGATCACTTATGCTTTAGCACACTACAATTGACCATTTTTATAATCCTTACCATTTCTGGCATATCTAAGACTCTTACAATCCTTCATATTGTTGATAACATAGTAGGTGCTCAGTAAATATTTCATTTATATATTGAGTTGTTGGGTGAATTATGGATATTTGCCTAAAAGAGACTGGTACTTCATAGATAAGGTGTCTGTATTTTATGATTCCCAAATCAGGATATATGTACTGACAATAACATAATACATGATTTCAACAGGGAAAAATTAAGCAAAGTTCAGTACTATTAACAGCAAAGTGTTAATAGTGCTTGCTAGAGACTTGAGAGTACTGCCAGAGAACTTAATTTTTCTCTAAAGCCAATGTGTAGTTGGGAAGAAAATACCAGGAAACTGTTGGAGGCATAGAAGTGGGGCCTGACATGTTGTGTAAGCATTTTTAAGGCGTAGTGGTAGGATGGCAGTATTGGAAAGTTATTAGTGAACACACGGTCTGCCCATTTTCTCAGTTATTAGTATGATTAATGTCAGAACTGATTGTTGCTCTCACTGTGATTTCAGATTTCTCCCTTTACCCCATTCTTCATTAGATTAATTTCATTTCATGTCATTAGATCACTAATGAAATTATTCATGAAGATACATTGAAGACTTATGTAGGCCATTCCTTGTAGCCCATTTAGTATATGTAATATAATTACTCTTTTTCAAGTCTTTTTTACCAATTATTTTTTTAGTTTTGTCTTCAGGAGTTGAGAAGACAGTTTCCTGGCAGTCACAGAGTCAAGCGACTAACTGGCATGAGATTTGAAGCCATGGAAAGGTAACTGAATCTTGTAAAAAGTGTGATCCCATTTTAAAATGGCAACCGTGGGTCAAACCTTTTTATTCTTCTGCACTTAGGGCAACATCATTTATTCCGCAAGATCTCTTGCTCCTAAGAGGGTGCTTCTCAGCCTAAGTCCTGGCCTTTACTCCCAGTAAATAGGATTTGACATAAAAGTTTAATCCATTTAATCATATCTGGTCTTGTGAAATTGAGATTATACTTTGTGGTAAGAACTGGCTTCAAGGTTCTAGGATTTATTAGCTGTTTCCGTAGCAGATTATTTAACTTTAAGGTTTTTCAGTCTCATTCCTCTGTAAAGCAAGAATATTACCAATTTTTCAAGATTTTGGGGGGAATTAGTAATGATACATGTGTAGGACCCTCATAGACACTCAAGGTATAGAAACTATTATTTTGTTTATGGCAGTATAATTAAATATAATATTAGTTTCAGGTGTGCAACATAATGCTTTTATAACGCGAGGGTATATATATCTTTTCAAGATAGTGCTTTCGTGATATGTATATAGTGAAATAATTATAGTAAATTTAGTTAACAATCACCACCCATAGTGATAAATATTTTTTTCTCATGATGAGAACTTCTAAGATCTACTCTCTTAGCAACTTTCAAATATAGCACACAGTATTGTAACGATACCAACCATGCTGTACATTATAGTCCCAGGACTTATTTTGTAACTGGAAGTTTGTACCTTCTGACCTTCTTCACATATTTCACATACCCTGTATTCCCATCTCTGGCAATCACCAATTTGTTCTCTGTATATATGAGTTCAGGTTCTTTTTGATTCCACATATAAGTGAGATCACACAGTATTTGTCTCTCTGTTTCACTTATGACACTTAGCATAATGTCTTTAAGGTCCACCCAAGTTGTCGTAAATGGCAGAATTTCCTTTATTTTATGGGCGAATACTATCACACTGTACAGATGTCACAAACACATTCATCTCTTGATGGACAGTTAAGTTGTTCCAGGCCTTGTCCATTGTAAATAATGCTTTTATAACATGGGGGTGCATATATCAAGATAGCGCTTTTGTTAATGGTAGTTTTAGTTTTGACTTTTAAAAAAAGATTTTGTTTATTTTATTTTTAGGCAAAGGGGAAGGGATGGAGAAAGAGTGGAAAGAAACGTCAATATGTGGTTGCCTCTCACATGTCTGTCCCCTACTGGGAACCTGGCCAGCAACCCAGGCATGTGCCCTGCCTGGGAATTGAACCTGCAGCTCTTTGGTTCACAAGCTGGTGGTGCTCAGTCCACTGAGCCACACCATCCAGGGCTATTTTCAACTTTTTAAGGAACCTCCATACTGTTTTCCATAGTTGTACCAATTTATATTCCCACGAACAGTGCACAAGTTTTCCCTTTCCTCCACATTCTTGGGAGTCACTTGCTGCCGTTGCACTACAGGGTCACTCCTTTCTCCATGTTCTTGCCAACACTTATGTCTCGTCTTATTGGTAATTTCCATTTTAACAGGTGTAAGGTGACATCTTCTTGTAGTTTTGGTTTACATTTTCCTGATTAACAGTGATATTGAGCAGCTTTTCATGAACCTGTTGGCCATTTCTATGTCTTCTTGGGAAAAATGTTCAGTTCCTTCGTTCATTTTTTACTGGGATTGTTTTTTTTTACTGTTGAGTTATCTGAGTTCTTTATGTATTTTGAATATTAACCCCTTATCAGGTATATGATTTCTATTTTTTTCTGTAGCTTGCCTCTTCATTTTGTTGATATTTTCTTTTGCTATATAGAAGTTTTTGCTACCTTTGCTTTTGGTGTCAAATCCAAAAAATCATCACCAAAACCAGTGTCACCTTACACCCTATGTTTTCTTCTAGAAGTTTTATGGTTTCAGGTCTTATATTCAGGTCTTTAATCCATTTTAAATTGATTTTTTGTTTATGGTGTAAGGTAGTGGTCCGGTTTCATTCTTTTACATGTGGCTGTCTAGTTTTTCAGCAGTTTCTTAAAAAGACTATTTTTCCTCCATTGTATATTCTGAGTTCATTTGTTGTAAATGAATTAACCATATATGTATGGATTTATTTCTGGGCTCTATATTCTGTTACATTGATCTGTGTGTCTGTTTTTATACTAATTTCATACTGTTTTGATTACTGTAGCTTTAAAATATTGTGTGAAATCAGGAAGTGTGATACTTCTAACTTTGTTCTTTTTCCTAGGGGTTTTGGTTATTAGGGGTCTTGTGTGGTTCCGTACAAATTTTGGGATTGTTCCATTGGCATTTTTTATAAGGGTTGCATTGATCTGTGGATTGCTCGAAGTAGTGTGAGCACACACCAACATTAGTTCTTCCAGTTCCTGAGCACAGAATGTCTTTGACTTTATTTGTCTTCAGTTTTTTTCATCACTGTCATAGTTTTGATGTGCAGGGCTTTTACCTTTTGGTTAAATTTATTCTTAGGTATTTTATTCTTTTTGATGCAGTTGTAACTGGGTTTTCTTAATTGCTCTTTCTGATAAATCATTATTAGTATATTAGTGATTTTCAACTGGTGTGCTTTTGCACACTGGTGTGCCACAAGAATTTTTAAAAAACATGCAATACTTGATTATTACTGACTTCTTTTCTTTTTAGATTGTCAGATTAAAAAATCACAAAAACTAATACAATAGCCATCTGAGGTGAATAAATCAAAATTATACCTCTTTTTTTCTTGCTCAAATTGGCAAAAAGTATATTTTTTGGTGTGCTGCAGAATTTTGGTAATTAGTTTATGTGTACCATGAGATAAAAAAGGTTTATTGAAACAGCTGATATTTTTGTATATTGATTTTGTATCCTGTAACTTTATTGAATTTGTTTATTATTTCTGACTTTTTGGTGGACTGTTGTGCTATATAGTAAGCTGTGATTGTCCTTGTTTACCTGTTTCCCAATTTGGGGACAGTGGTTTGCCCCATGACTTTAATTCTCTGATGGACCCAAGAGTTGTTGGTTTGTCCAGATTGTTTAGGTTTTTTTTCTTGTGAGGATGGGAGCAACAACTACCAAGGTCTTTACATGCTATTCCAGGAACCAGAAATCTAGAGCTTCTTTTCGTACAGTTGTTGACCATTTCTCTATTTTCTTTGGAGAAATATCTGTTCATATCCTTCATTTTTAAATTAGATTGTCTTTTTATTATTTAGTTGTAAGAGATCTTTATATATGGTCTATATATAAGGTTCTTATCAAATATATGATTTGAAAAATATTCTTTCATTCTTTTCACTTGCTTAATACAATGATTTTTCAACCTTTTTCATCTTGCGGTGCACATAAACTACTAAAATGGTGCAGCACACCAGAAAATATACTTTCGGACAGTCTGACAAAAAATTGGTATAGTTTTGATTGATCCACACAAATGGCTATTGATGTGTTTGTTGGCTGTTACCATTTTTTTATTGGACATCTAAAAGAAAAGAGGTCAGGGACCCTAACTAAATAGTCAGGTATAGCGTATTTTAAAAATTCTTGTGGAACAGCAATTGAAAACCACTGGCTTAATGATGTCCTTTGATTACAAAAGTTTTTGATATTTTATAAAGTCCAGCTTATTTTCTTTTTATTTTTAGTGTCATATCTAGAAGCCATTGTCTAATCCAAGGTCATAAAGATTTCACCTATCTTATCTTCTGAGAGTTTTATAGTTTTAGTTCTTATTTTTAGGTGTTTGACACATTTTAATTTAATATTTTTTACAATGTGAAGTAGGTCACTCTTCATTCTTCTTCATGTAAGTAACCAGTTGTCCCATCACCATTTACTGAAAAGACTGTGCATTCCTTATTTGTCTTGACAGCCATGTTCAAAATCAATTAAATGTAAATGTGCGGGATGATTTCCTGGCATTTAGTTCTCTTCCATTGATCTATATGTTTATCATATACCACACCAAATTGACTCTACACTGTATTGATTCTGTGGCTTTATATTATGTTCTAACATTGGGCATTGTGAGTCTTTTAGCTTTGTTCTTTTTTTTCTTCCAAGATTATTTTGCCTCTTCTGAGTCCTTTGAAATTACACATCATTTTTAGTATCAGCTTATTACTTCTCACTTTTTAGCATGGTGTTTCAGGTAAGACAGGTAACTTGTACCTCAAATGTAGTAGTTTTTTTCAAGCCAGATTTATTATATAATTTTTCTCAACCCCTTCACTCCTGGGCTTATATGTTTGTGCATGTGCACATTTTAATCTCTTTGGATCCTCTCTGTAAGTAAGTAAAGAGCAGAGATAAAGAAAAGTAACTGAAATAGTATTAACTTAGGTTAGCAGAAACTAATTTTGAATCAGAGGACAGAATGGAAGAAATTGAAAGGATTGCTTCTGACTCAGTGTTCTACCCTATTATCACTTTTTGTTTTATTTCAAGTATTATGAATTCCTAGACCATTCTTAAAATATATGAATTAGCAGAACACATTCCATAGTCCAAAATGAGTGATTTTGAAAACTAAATTATAAGAGATTGAGAGGTACTAGCTTCTAAAGCACACATTTTAATATTTACTACCTCTTTCCAACCATATAAAATACTGATAATGGTAGCAATAATTTATTCTTAAGTATTAATTCAGGTTTTCTAAGAAACTCAATGAAGATTAATTTCTTTAAGCCTTATTTTATTGAAACTCGTCACCATTTTACTTAGTAATGTTTTAATGTTTTAATCTGAAAGACTGGCTGGTGTATGTGACTTTGTCAAGTAGGTTTATTGATCATTGTTTTTCATACATGATTGTGTACCTTAGACTGTGGAATTTTAAAAAAATATGTAGTTCCTGACTTTGCTTTACTGAAATCAGTCTTTTGTGGGGTATAATCCAGATTTTCTTTAAAAAGCCTTGTAGGTGAAAAGACAGGTGGGTATTAGAACATTGTTTTAGTCAACAATGTTCTAATTTTTGTGGACTTTCAGTGTATTAGATTCTCTAGAGAAACAGAGTCAATAAAATATAGAACCAAATATATATGTATGTGTACACAATACATCCATATACATGAACACAGAACTATATGTATAAATGGAGATTTGTTGTCAAGAATTGGCTCACTTGATATTGGAGGCTTTAAAGTTTCAGGATCTGCTGTGTGCAAGCAAGAGACCCAGCTACGCCAGTGTTATAACTCAGTCTAAGTCTGGAGGCTGAGAACTAAGGGACCTGATGGTATAAATCATAGTCTGAGGATAGAAGGGAGATGAGATAGGATGTTCCAGCTCAGAAGTGAGGCAGTAAAATAGGGTCGAATTCCTCCTCTCTCCACTTTGTTCTGTTCAGGCCCTCAAGAGATTGGATGATGCCCACCCACAGTGGGGAGGCAATCTGTTTTACTGAGTTTACGGATTCAAATGTAATCTCATCTTGAAACACCTTTAGACATACCTAGAAATTATGTTTAATCTGGGTACCCCATGACCAGTCAAGTTGACACATACAATTAACTATCATAATCAGTTTTTACCCAAATGATCAAATGTAAAACTAGTTATTAGTTCCTTATGTATGTAGTTTTTGTACAACTATAAAACAATGGTTTTATATCTTTCTCTGTCATTTCTGATCTTTTCCACAGGTATTATAGTTGGGAAAGATTCCCAGGTGATTTTCATGTAATGTCTTATGAGAATCCCTGATCTGTAGCACTAATTTTGCCCTTGTTTTGTATACTTTACTGTTTTTATTATTTAATGATTTTATTTTTTGTGTTTTCACTTAGTTGTAGATTTTTTATGAGGCTCACATACCTAAATGTTATATTACTATGTATTTGGTGTTCAGACTATTTTTTGTTTGTTTGTTTTTGAACCACTGCTGAGTCAGATTGACTTTAGTGTTCAGGGATGTGGTTTGCCCCTCACTTAGTACGGACACATTTACACATTGAGTCTGCTTTTATTTTTTTCAGTAGTCTGCTGCAGTTAAATGTATTCTTATCTGTTAGGGTGGTCACAATCACTAATCCAGGTGTGGACACAAAAATTTTGGTGCCGGTGTATAGTTAAAATGATATGGTATGATATAGTACAGAGTACTCATAGCTATCATGAAGAGAAAAATGTAAAATTAAAAATTTCCCTTAGAGAACTTATGAAAAAAATCCCTGCTATGTTTGTTATTCCTAGTTTTAGAAACACTGCTGTAAAAGTTTTTAAATACTTTTTTTGTTTCTTTAAAAATTCATATTCAGAAGTGGAGAAATTGGTAGGAAGGGTGCAATTTATGAATATTGTTAGGAATTTCAGAATCACTCAGCTATTTCCCTGCATCCTCATTAGGATAATCATAAATGAGTAGATATTTAAGTAAAGTTCTCTGTGTGATTTTTTATGTATTCCTACTTTGATTCTGTACCACATAATGTTAATTTTGGCTTCTTAGTTATAAACTGTCATATTTGATTATTTTTCATTTGATAAATTTGTTAACTGTTTCCCTTATGAGATTTTATCCCAGCAAAGAGTAAGTATTACATATGCATATTTAATAAAGGCTTAATGGACCAAACCAGGTCAACTAAGAAAAGCTATTATAAATATTCATTAAAGGGGAATTAATACATAACCATTTCCTTGTAAATGTAATTTAAAATCAAACTTTTTCATATGTTTTTTTGGCTGTAATTCTGGGTATATCTAGGACCACAAAGAGATATCTTTGTGCTGCTAGTTTTTACCTTTATATTTAGGCCATATTGAATTAGTATGTTTTTGAAGTAAGTTTTTCTATAAGTTCTTTATAATGTTACTTTTTTCCATTAAAAAATGGTACCATACTTTTACTATTATATGAATATTGGAAGTAACTTGGATAGCAATTGTAAATGCATTCAAAGCACTGAGAGTTTAATTTTTTTCTGTATTTAGTATTTGTCACTCAGTTTTAAGATAATGATTCTTAATGTTTCTTTTTCTTTTTAAATAGATATGATGATGCAATACAGCTATATGATCGGATTCTACATGAAGATCCAACTAACACTGTAAGTTAGCTGATTGTCCTGAAGATCATCTAGTTTATTTCAAAAGGAAGAATTAATGAGTTCTGGAAATAATGGAGAAATACATATGGAACCATGTTTATCTTCTTATTTTAAATATTTCATGATAGGCTGTTTAAAAACAATAGATTTGAAACTTTTCAGTAAAAGTTTTTATGAAATACTTTACTAGAAAGAAGCTTGTTGAAGTTAAGAAAGAGAATTTTATGTGCTTGTGAAAAAGCCCAGGAGAGCTCAGTGTTTTTGTAATGTTTTGTTGAAGTTTATAAAATAGTAACTTGCCTTGTTTATGTAGCTACATTTTGGTTAATGAAAAATGAAAGAAGTCATCTCAGTAATTAGTATATGGATTAATGAAGGTGTTTTGTTTTGGATTTGGCTTTTCTCATTTATATCTGCATAAGAATGACTATATCGCTTATAAATATTTTAAAATATGTCTTTAATTTATCCAAATTTTAATGAATTTTATATTAGTTTATTGGTCAGAATATTCGTTCTAAATATACTTATGTAGTATTATTTGTTTTAAAAATACCCTGGTGGAAAAAATTTGTTTTTACTTTTGAGAACATTTCAGTTTATTGTTGGTATAATGGCTTCCCTCAGATTTACATTTTATTAAGTGAAAAGGTAAAGAGACCAGGCATTTTTAATGCTTTATGTTATGTCCATGTATACATATACCTGCTAAAAGAAAAATTTTGTTAGAAATTTTAAACAAAAAACATTTGAGTTTGTATTGTCCTTTAAAAGGAGAAATTCTTCTATTAACACATAATACATATTGTAATACATAATAAGTATTGGGCATAATAATGTTCATTAGAGTGTTCATTCCACACCTATGACTGTAGACATTTTACTTGCTATTCATGTTTATATTTTGGGATTGTCTCATTTGTGATATTTGAATGCAATATTTTTAACAAGTTTCACTGTATCTATATAATTATTTCATCTCAGCTGGTACAAACCCTGTAAGGTTTGGGGCAAGATATTAATATCAAATTAGGTAAGCCTGTGCCAGTTCTTTAAAGATCTCAAAAGTGGAGCCTTTGGTAAGGCTTAAAACACAAAGTTTAAGCACAAACCAAAGGTAAAATAAAGGAAGATAGCATTCATTTAATACCATTGTAAGTATTTTGTTAGTTGCTTTACACTGATACTTGGAGAATTGTGGTGTTACTGAGTTGTGGACATTAAATATTTTGCCCTTGGTTAGAAAGCTGGTAAGAGGCAATAGTGGGATTCAGTTTCTTCTCCCCACCCCCACCCCAAAACTTGGACTTTGTTCTCTACCTATGGCCTGTGGGAGAAGTAGTGTCATGAAGAATGAAAGGAATAAACAGTTAAATATGTTTCAAGTAATGTTGAATTGGTGAAGTTAGGTATTATATGTCCAAAATAGTTTCTTCATTATATGTTCATTTATTTCTCACCTGTTTTCAAAAGGACTTCAAATGAGGCTGTCCTTTGAAGTCTAATATTTTTCTTTTCCTAAAGACTTTAAGGTTGTTACTTTTAGAACTTTACTTCTGCTTTCCTTATGAATTCTTGAGACTTTCTAAATTTAGCATATACAGGATCCAGCACAAATAATGCCCTTTTTTTTAAATTACAAAATCATAAGCCTGTAATTCTTTAACATAACAATATCACACTTAAGCACACCATGTGATATTTTAGATGAAGTGTCAAATTAAAACTGTAAATTATCACACCCGTATTATTACCCTACTAACCACACTCATGCAGGTGTTACTTCTGCTGGACCCTGTATTTGGTGCTTTCATTGTTCTACATAGTGGAATTACTCAGATATATTTGAGTGCCTACTGTGTAGCATTGTGTTAGGCCTTTGGCATGAGCAGAATATTAGAGGATACACATTTTTAACAAATAGGTCATTTTTGTTACTAAAATAATATCAGTATTATTGTGAATATTGCTCTTGGTCTTATTGGGGAGTCTCTTGATTCTCCCTGTTTTTTTCTTTCTTACTACTTCAGCATGAAACCCCACCTTTCTCTATGACAGGTAGCTCTGTTAGTCTAAAGAGGATCCATTCATTGTACCTCCATTGACTGCATCTTGTGGAGTGTATATTATTACATAAAAAACAACAGTCATTATAATTAAGTTTAACCTGGACCTAGTGTGTTTTATGTTTAACCTTCTGCACTGAATAAAATAAAACAGAGATGGGGGGATTGTAAATTTAATACTTTGTATAGTGCCCTCCAGCCCCTGACTGTTCACTCCAGCCTCAAGTGTTAAGTCTTGATTACATACAACGTTGCTGTCTCCTGTGCCTTTGCTCCAGTGTTCCTCCTGCAATGCAGTGTTCTCAACACGGTGTCCTCATTTGCTTTCATTTCCCTTTTCTATTTCAGCTCAGGTGTCACATCTGTGACCCTCTTTGTGTCCTGACCTTCCACCTCTTCCACTCTGCTACAGCCTATAATATGTGTTAGGATCTACTCCATGTCATTACAATTCCCTAGATATACAACTCCCCCTGTCATTGTTTTTTTCAGTATTTGATGTGTCTTTCTCTTTATAGTGTCATTGTCTAGCATACTACCTAGCAAATAGTAGCTATTCAGTACATACTTGATGATTGTATAAATAAATGTCATTTATCTTTTTATATTTATCATTTAAAAAACTTTAAAATGCAAGTTTAAATGTCTTCCTTATTTTAAAAATATATTTCAGGACCTGTATTGTTCATTCAAAAGACTTATAGGTAGATTGTTCTGTTAAAATTGTGAAAAAGTTATTAGAAGCCATATTTGTATAATGACATTCAGGTGGCCATGGTGAGATTTTTTTTCCCTAAGCTTCACTTTCCCTCTGTCTCTTCAGATACAGATCTTATGAATGAGACAGAGTAAAGGACTTTAGGCTGGATAAAGATTAGGATTCCCTGCTGGCTTGTAATTATCAGAATCTGGATGGTTATTTATTTGAATGAAATGATGCATACATTGTGTACATCAAAAGTAAAGCATATGTGATTGTTAGAGGAATGTTTGAATTCCCTGGTGGGATGTCATGGGGTATGTTTATAAACTCCCACTAAGCAATAGTTGTACAATGGAGTTTCACTGGCATTGAGATAATAATTTGCACAGTCAGATTACCTTCTTTAAGAAAACCCAGGGAATCATGAGCGCCTAATCCTTTATTAATGTCAACCCATAGGCTGCAAGAAAGCGTAAGATTGCCATTCGAAAAGCCCAGGGAAAAAATGTGGAGGCCATTCGGGAACTGAATGAATATCTGGAACAGTGAGTGTCTTACAAGAGGATTGTGTTTTGTTATTCTGATAAATCTTTTTTAATTAAAATGGAATTTGCATTTGATTTTCCTTTTTGCCTTACATGCTGTTTATTTACCTAATATCTGCACATGTATTTTTTTTCATTTTCCCTCACTAGATTTGTTGGAGACCAAGAAGCCTGGCATGAACTTGCAGAACTTTATATCAATGAACATGAGTAAGTGATTAGGCACACACAAAATTTTGTTAGGAGTGCATTTTTCATCACTATATAAGTTCAGAAGACCTAGTGGTTTCCAAAGGATTGGTGGGAAGATATGAATCGTGTGTCATTTTAAATGAACAAAATAAACGAGCAGTTAAATGAAAAGAAAAACAAATCGGTGATTTATTGTATATATATGTGAGTTGCTTTAAGTAGGTCATTTGTGTTTTCTAAATTATTTTTGTTTGGGAAGTTAAGTTTTACTTTCAAATACATAAAGTATTCTTTAGAGTGAGAAAGGCCTGCATTTGCTGAGTTAAGATTATTTTCAGTGAATCAAAATTGTGAATTTTTAGAGTTCAAATTATTCTTACAATACAAAGAGTATTATGCTCCCTGCTGTTTAAAAATTCTGTCAATTGTATGCATTTATTAGCCTTAGTACTAAGAGAATCAACTCTTCCAAAGTAGAAGCATTCTGTTGCCTGGGTAAAAAACCAAGAATAATCAAGAATGTTGAATGCTGTAGGAACTAGCTTATTGGATATTTAATGTTTTTGTTAGCTTTTTTATTGCTGCAGTGACAGGAGGAAATCTCAGTGTGAGAGGATTAGCCCTGTCTTAGTGCAAGTTTTCTAATATCACAGCATTAACGCTAACCTCCATGTAGAGGCAGGACTTCTTTTTCTCTTTCTTTTTTCCCCCTTAGTTCTTCTGAATCTGAAGTATATCACATTGTGTCTTCCCTTCTTTTAGAGAGAATAGAATCAGATTCTCATGCACATATTCTTACTATGCATGAATAGTTAATCTCATTCTCATAGTACAAATAGCTGACACATGAAATAAAATAGAATGAAGACACCTTTGTGTCTTGCCTTGGCCCAGGGCTGTATGTGTAGTGCGAAATGGAGAATTAGGGTAGTAAACTGCATAAGTCTAAGATAAGTGGGAGCTAAAATTAAAATAATAGCTGTCATTCAGCGAATGTGTACTATATTCTGGGAAGCAGTTTTCAGTTCTCTACTATATTTTGGCTCAGATCCTCTTTGTTTTCCCTTACAAAATTATTTTCCAAGTCATGTTCAGTATAGATGTGTTTTATGCTTATATGTTCACATACGTAAATGTACTCAGTATTCTCTTATGTATGAGAGTGGTAGAATATTTGGTTTAAATGGTAATTTATTTTCATAGCTTATCAGGTGTACAATGTATAATTTAAATAACATGAACTGAATTTCCAGAATGCCATAAAAAATCCTATTTTGTCCATAAAACAGAAGACAGTCATTTAAAATATTTTGTGCTTTTGAAGATTTGTGATTAAAAGCATTTAAAAATATTTCAAATTATCAAATTTATAAAATTAAAAATGCAGAAAATTTGTATACCCCAATAAAGAATAAAGATAGAGATGAAAATCATGTGTAATTGCATCATCCTAAGTTAGCTATAGTTAATTTTTTATTTTTTTACTACCTCTTGAAACATACAGAAACCTAAAGTAGAATTATCTTTTGTAGCTTAATGCTTTTTACTTAGTTATATTTTATCTAAAATTTCTTACCACAATAAACATTTTACAATGTGATTTCAGTGGCTTTTTGTTATTCTGTCTTATTAAGGTAACCTAGTTTTCTTAGCGAATTTTCTAGGAGAATATGTAGGTTGTTTTTTCATTTTCACTGTGATGGTGTACTGATTTTCTTTATTTTTTTAGCAAGAACAGTATCTATCGTTAGGATTGTCTCACTTTTAATTGTTTTGTTAGGCTAAATTCTTAGAAGTAGAATTACTTGATTAAATGATACAGACATTTTTAGGAATTTTGATAAATCGTTCTGAATTGTTTAGTCCCACACCAGCAATTCTTAGTGTTCTTTAACAGCACTGTGTGCTGTCATTCTTTTCAGTATTTGCAAATTTTGATAGGTGAAAACTGGTTACATCTTTTAAAAGGATTTTTAAGAGCTCTTTCTGGAAATGGTTGGAAGTTTTGTTCTTTCAGAAACATACTCTTGTTTGGTATATGTCTTTTTCATATTGACTTTCTAATCTTACACATTTTATTTTTAGATGATCAGATGCCCATTTTTATTGCTTTCATGTTTTCTATCCTTTAAGAACTATATTAATATATCACCTCTGTCTTGCATGGTTTTAATATTTCTGTATTTAGTTCTCAAATAGATAATACTTTATTTTTAACCTACCATTAAATTTATTTGCTCCACCTTGTAATGGGCACATTCAGTTTTGCTTTGTGTTGAATCTCTAAAGAGTTTGTTGAAATAGGTGCAAGTACACTCAAGAGAAATGAACTGAAAAATCCCCCAAATTTACAAAGATAGAAAAGCATTTAAAAAATTTCTTTTTAGAAGAAATGGTAATTGTGTTCATTTTGACCTTAATCTTATATCACAAAATTCTTTTTTGTTCTACAGCTTGTTATTCACAAAATGGCCATTTATTTTTTTCAAGAAATAGTCAGAATTAGAGTATGTGGAAATAAATATCTTTGGACTTTTTGAAGTGAAAATTAGAATCTTTTCACTTAATTATTTTGTTTGGGCAAGCCATTGCAGTAGGTAGGATTTTTTGGGGGGGGTAGAAGTGATAAATTTTTGTGGTATGTCAGCACAGTTTTATGGACACAGTGACAAAAAAATGTAGCAATTTAGGAATTGCTATTTCTATATAAATATATCTATAAATAGATATATTTAACATTTTGACATGTTCTATATGTAAATAGTTTATAAGTTATTTTAAATATAGGTCACAGGCAGTATCGTTCGTCTAGATCTAGTACTTTTTACTATAAATTCCACAGTAAAACGTTCATACAAGCCCATTTAGTGTTTATATAGAATTCTGCCATGTATTTTTTATATCTTTAAGTTACTCTTACTTACGTTTGCTTCTGATTTATAAATTATAGTGTGTATTTTGTTATTTAGGTGGTATATGTTATACCAGTTGACTATATTTATATACTTGTTTTAAATATAAAATTAGTTATAATTTGTTAGCACTGCCAATATATACTTTAAACAAAAACACACATTTTAAGCAAAGACACTTTTACTTGATATATAGTTAAAACAAGAGGTTATATCAGTAAGCAGCAGCTAGTAGTGTAATTGATAGTGATTATAGTTGCTTTTTGTAGGTCTGGCCTCACTGTAAAATTTTGTGACTAATGGAATTATTAAAATGCTATAAGGAAGAATCATAATGTTAATAAACACTCTAGTAACAAATACTGGAACCTATGTATGTGCTTTTGCAAAGAACGGAAGAACTTTGAAGTTAGGTGTTTAAAGTAGAGATCGTTTTCCCCTTGTTTTATAGAATAAAAAATAAATAGCAGACAAATATCAATACTTCTGTTCTCGACACTTATTTAGTCATTTGTTCATTTATTATATACTTATAGTCAACAACCAGGTGTTGGATATAAAAATGAAAGGGCTAAATAGCTGCATGATCTTTGATGATTATATATAAGAACCTTTATAAACCTAAAATACTGTGATATGGGGTAATCCGCAGGGTATTTTTGGTTCCTCAGACCCTTTGTATTTCATTGTAGTACCTGTTTTTATGTTACCATCGGCATCTTCACTGCCATCACTATCAGGATTTTTATTGTGCTGTGTAGTGCTCATAGGCCTTGTGCCTAGTGGTCAAGAGGAGTGCAGACTGTCTGGAATGGCACAGCCTGGGTTTCAGTTTAATCTGTGCCTCAGTCTTTTTAACTATAGAATGGTGATATTCATTTCCTACTTCCTAGGGTTTGGGCAGTATTAAATAACTTAATACATGCAACACCTAGAGAATAATACATAACGAGCATCTGATAAAAGTTAGCGCTTATGAGTCACATTTGTGAAATGGCAACATGTACATTTTGAAAAGTAAGTATATTAGACTTCAGTGTAGAGACCTTTGTGTATTGGTGACAAATGCCAAAAATAAAATAACTATAGGTAGCTTTTGTATGATGGGTACTCTCATCACCTCCTCCCTGGGAATAAATCTTAGGACTCCTCTGTTCTTTAGAATTTCCTGTTAATAGTAAGGATATTCAAATGACTTTAAACATATAAAATACATTAAGGGGGATTATAGTTACATGGTATAAAGCCATTTTTCCAGAGCCCTTTGCAGCAGTTCTTTCCTTAGGTTTACAGCAAGATTTTTGTTTCTTTACCACATGATTAAATAGCAGTAGAGTGTACATCAAAGCCACTAACTTGATGTATTTCCCAGGGGTTTAGAAATTTATAACTTTATTATGATTTTGTGTTTGACAATAAACTTAAGTAATGAAAAGTCTTTGTAGGAGACTATGTTGGTAAATTTATGTCTGTAAAGGATTTTAGTAAATAGTACTTACTAAAATGTTATTTCCTCCTTATACTTGAGCTATTTGATTACTTTATTAAATGATTTGTGGAATTCCAGAAATTATTTTATATGTTACTTGATCCAAGGCCTTAAAACCTACGTTGTTAATGTTTGGATGTCCTATTAGTGACCCAGTTTTTAAAACTGTAATATGTGTTGATTGTTTGTGGGCTGCTTTAGGATTTAAGCCTCTGTTTACTCATTTCATTAAAAGAGGAAATATTATTTGTATTTGTGAATTCAGGATAATAAGTCCTTTATCAGTAAAGCTATTTAAATTATTTAGGGATAAAAATAATTTAGTCTAACTGACTAAGATTGTTTTTAAGTTATTTTAAGGCACTACTAAGATAAAATTTGTGACTTTTAAAATTATGTTTTCCTTTTGATATTTTTTAGTTACGCTAAAGCAGCCTTTTGTTTAGAGGAGCTTATGATGACTAATCCACACAACCACTTGTATTGCCAGCAGTATGCTGAAGTAAGTGTTTTCAAAAACAACAATTGTATGTGATTTTATTTTTGTTGGTTTAAGTATTATGGAACTAAGAATATGTCCTTAATGTTAGGTAAGCATATAAATATTTAAAACAGCTGATGAAAATTGACTTGTGGGAGTAAAAGTTTTAAATTTTTAATACTATAATGGAATACTGACTTCTCAGTTAAAAGCACTATTTAAAACAATGAAATTCTTTGTATTTTTGTGTGTATACTATTTTCTGATAATGAATTAATTATGTCACAATTGTCACCACTTAATGGCTTCTAAAACATTTATAGTGACTATGATTTTTAAATTTATGTTTTAGAAAATTCATATCAAGGTCCGTATTTTAGAAAATAGAAAGTATTTATCTTCTTTGCTTACTATTAAGACAGCAAGATAATTCAGTTCTATGTTAGAAGGACTTCATATTAAGGACTGTTAGTAGTTTTGGGGGGAAATTATGCTTTTAGATTAGTTTTAATAATTTTAAGATGAAGTGTTTTAAACATCTGCATTTGTTTACAAAATATGTCTTAATGACGTACTAATGCCAATGGTATGATGAAACGTGCTATATTTCAAAGTAGTAAAATAAACAGGTTTCAGCACTGTGCAGTTTTTAACAGGTTAAATACACCCAAGGCGGACTTGAAAACCTTGAACTTTCAAGAAAGTATTTTGCACAGGCATTGAAACTGAACAACAGAAATATGAGAGCTTTGTTTGGACTTTACATGGTGAGTTAAGGTGCATGTTTAATGTTATTTTAACAGATATGTCATTTAAAATTCATTAACTATCCTATTTAATCACTTTTCTCTATTTTTTGATAAGCATATGAATATTTTTCTCTAGTTAATTATGAGTAAAAGGTTATAAGGCAATTATATTTTTAAGTGTTAACACATCCTATTTGACATTTAGTTGTGAAGTTTTTTTATTGTGTCAGAAATGAAATTTTACCTTATAAAATTAAATAGTAACAGATAAAAATCCATCCTGTCCATCCTGTCTTTCTTAGTTGTTTTGACATTTTTGGGTTTATGCCCAGCATAGTTAGTTATATTTCTTACCTTAAATTAAAATTATATGAGATATTTTTAAACTATGGCAACAAAAACCATATTAGAAACAATCTCATGTCAAATTAAAATGTTTTTATGGAGTAGAAAGAATTTGCAAAAAGCATGTAATTAAAGAATCTTATTGTTTATTTATAAGAAATGACAAACTTAGAAATGTGAATTAACAAGAGCTTTGGAGTAGGAAGAATTTGCTGAGCTTTGAAATACATATAAAACAAGCCCCTCTCTACAATCAGAATGCCTAGAGAAAGAAGCTTTTCTTTAATAGGCCAGTTCTTTGAAATTTTAATTTATCCTAGTCTTTCATGGATTTTGGGGTGAATGTCTTATTGGGGTTCAGTGAAAAGAATTGATTGCAGAAGTGGAGGTAGAAAGAAACACATGAAACCCCTTTCCAGAAAGAAATGGAATTTTTTAAGAGTTATAGTAGACAACTAATAAAATAATTTTGGATATTATTTAAGACATCTTTTTCCATCCATCACTTTGGATTATTCAATATTTTAATATAGTCATTTTTTAATTTTAATTGTTCAAGTACAGTTTTCTGTCCTTTACCCCCATCCCAGTAATGTTGTCATTTTTAAACACTACAATTTTATTCAGTGTAATTTTATTTTAAAAGTTGTTTTGGTACAATTTTTAAAAACTATGTTATCATCCCATTGCAACTGTGACCTTACATGTTTTTAATTATTTTGCTAGGAAAAGGGCATTTGTTTTTGATTGTTTTGTTTTGTTTTTAGTCAGCAAGTCATATTGCTTCTAATCCAAAAGCAAGTGCGAAAACAAAAAAGGACAACATGAAGTATGCTAGTTGGGCAGCTAGTCAGATAAACAGAGCTTATCAGGTTAGTACTGATAGTTTTATATTATAATACGTTAATGTATTTCTTAGTTGTTGGGGGTTTTCCTGAAGACAAAGGCAGGTGTTTATCATTGGACTTTTATGCTTTGAACCTTTATCAAATATGTTTTAACTATGTGGAATTAAATTGTAGTGGCTTGTAGTGGTAAGGATCCCTTTTTTTTTTTTTTTCAAGAGGAGTCTATTACTGTTATAATCAATCCCATAATTACCTGACTGTCTAGAAGTCTTAGTAGTTCTGCATTTGGCAAATACAAAGTAATTTTGAACATCCAGAAAGCATAAACATATTGCAGATGCATTTCATATGCAGATCGTATATGTGAGTGTATTATTAATCAGAGGTAGCTCAATGAAAAAAAAAGAGGAAGAAAAGCCTAAAAGTAAAGTAACCAAACTGTAGCCAAGTTTATGTATTTTGCTTATACATCATACCTGATTTTCTGAAGCCTGTTCCTAGGAGATTCTTCAGGAAGGCCTCATGGAAAAACAGTCATCTTAACATCTTGCATGTTTATAACTTACCTGTCCATAAGCAGAGGTGTCCAACCCATGGCCTGTGCCCCAGGATGGCTGTGAATGTGGCCTAACACAAAATCGTAAATTTCCTTAAAACATTACGAGATTCTTGTTTGTTTGTTTTTCTTAATGTTTGTGTATTTAATGTGTAGCCCAGGACAACTCTTTTTCTTCCATTGTGACCCAGAGATGCCAAAATTTGGACACCCTGGTATAGTTATTATATTTGAAGGATGATTTGGCTTTTTATAAAACCTTTAGTTTACTAAGTCTTTTAAACATTTTGTTCCTTTTTTTTTTTTCAGATAAAATACTGCTGTAAAAAAGTTCGATGCCATTCTGATTTTCTTTCCTTAATAAGTGACTTAGCTTTTCACCTGGTTATCCTAAGGAATTTTTAATTTATTTTTAAAATACAGTATGTTTTGTTGATTAATTCTTGGGCTAACTTTCTCAAATATACAGTAAGTAGACCCTTTAATATGTGAGTCCAGTCCTCTTTTAATTTGAGAAACTTAACTTTAAAATTTTAGTTTCAAATACTTTTTTTATTCAATTGCTTAAGTTTTCTTTTTCATGTTTCCAATTACAAGTTTATCATCTCTCCTTTCTGGACTCCTGTATCATTCACCTTCTTTCACAATTTTTTTGTATCATTTTATTTTTTTTCTCCCTAGTAATTTTTTTGGAGTTCATATTCTTTTTCTTGTTCTCCATGTTTCAGTGAGATAATTTTCCTGGGCAATTAGGATAAGGGGAGTCAGAGATAGAGTAGGATAACTTTTCCAGCATTGCTTTCTCTATAGCCTCCTATTCTTTGGTATATTCAAAGCCTTGGTTTTAAAGTCTGTTTTGCCAGATATAAGTACTACTATCCCAGATTTTCTTTCTTTCCATCTGCATAAAATGTTTTTTCTCATCCCTTTATTTTTAGTCTGTGTGTATCTTTCAATCTGAGATGGGGTTCTTGGAGGGAGCATATATGTGGATCTTGTTTTCTTATCCATTCAGCTACCCTCCGTCGTCTTAGTTGGAGCATTTAAGCCATTTACATTTAGAGCGATTATTAATAGATATGTACACAGTGCCATTTTATCGTTAGACTGTTTTCCTCTATTTTTTTCCTTTCTCTTTTTCTTCTTCTTCCTAAAGCAAGCCCTTTAACATTTGTTGCAGTACTGGTTTGGTGTTTACAAACTCCTTTAGCTTTTTCTTATCTGGGAAGCTCCTTATTTCTCCTTTGATTTTAGGTAATAGCCTTGCTGGGTAAAACAGCCTTAGTTGTAGGTCCTTCCTTTTCATCATCTTGTATAATTTATACAATTCCCTTCTCACGTGAAATGTTCCTGTTGAGAAATCAGATGACAGTCTAATAGGTACTTCCTCGTAGGTAACTACCTGCTTTTCTCTTGTGGCTTTTAAGATTCTCGCCTTGTCATTTTAATTATGATGTGTCAGTATAGACCTCTTTGGTTCCAACCTCTTGGTGTGTTCCTCTTTGGTTATAACCTCTTTTTGAGTTTCCTGGACTTACATGACTTTTTCCTTCACCAGATTAGGGAAGTTTTCAGTCATTATTTCTTCAAATAGTTTCTGGATCCCTTGTTTGCCATCTTCTCCTTATGGTGTTCCCATGATGCAAGTATTGTTATGCTTCATGTTGTCTAAAATGTTTCTGAAGCCCCCCTCATTTTTTAAAATTCTTTTTTTCCTTTGGCTGCTCTGCCTGGGTGTTTCCCTCCTACCTTGTCTTCCAAAACACTGATTCGATCCTCTGCTTCAGCTAACCTAGTGTTTATTCTTTCCAGTGTCCTATTTACTACAGATACTGCATTCTTTATTTCTGAATGGCCTTTGTTTATGGTTTCTGTGTCTTTTTTTCATGCTGTTGAGTATCCTTGTAATCATTACTCTGAATTCCGTATCTGATAAATTGCTTGCCTCCATTTTATCTAGTTCTGGAGAAATCACTTGTTCTTTCATTTGGGATCTGTTTCTTTGTCTTCCCATTTTGGTTGCTTCTTTGTATTTTCCTCCTTAGCTGTTAAACTAATCTGTTGTCAAGCTGGTCAGTTAATCTAATCAAGCTGTAACCAGTAGTTGGGTGTAAGCACCACAGGGTTGGGCAGAGTAATTCCTGCAGTGGGGTTGTTGCTTCCCCTCAGGCTGATGCCACTTGGAGAGGTGCCTGAGAGAGATGACTCCTGCATTTGGGGGAATGACTCAGCACAGGGATCCTGGGAGTTGTTCCTTTAGTTTTCTCCCCAGAGCCATCAACCCCCGACTCTCCTCAAGCATCTCTAGTCCATTCTGCCCTTCCTTTGCAGGAGCCCAGGGTAAGTGGTTGCAAACGAAATTTTGTGCATTGGCCCTTTTAGAGGCTCTGTGTCTCCCCCTGGCAGACAGAAACTCTGCTGCCTTTCATAGCTGATGTTATCTGGGTTCCTTTCTGGCTCTGGTGCTTTAGGCTGGTGAGCTCAGGTGGGGGTTTAGACCCCTACACTTCTCAGGGAGAACCCCCAGCCATTGAAATATCCCTTTGGAACTTCCGCTGCCACCTGTGGGAGCCTAGCCAGCCCTCTTTTGTCTCCTCTGCACTGCATTCCAGTCACATTTTGGTGAAGCGGTTTCTTCTGTCTGTGGTTGTAAGGCTTTTCTCCAGCTAGTGTTCATTCTGGATGATTTCTCTACGATTTAGTTTTAATTCCAGCTTGGTCCTTGGAGAAGGTTAGTGTAGCTTCTATTTACTGTTCCTAAAAAAATGAGTATACATTTTCATTTTTGGATTCTAAAAAAATGAATGTACATTTTATTTAGTCAGTTGATTGCATCTACCTGTTGACTGGTGAGGTTCAACAGTTTTCTCATGTTTATTGGCTATGTGAAGCCTTACCTTTTTCATCAGTTTATGACTTTATTTTTTTAGTTTCCTGGTTATGAACCCTTTTGTTATAGGTGTAGCAAATCTCTTCAACTCCTTGCTTGTTTTTACTCAGAAATGATTTTGATGGAAAAAAGAAAAGAAATGATTTTGATGCATAAAAGTTCTGATGTTAAATATATTCAGCCTAATTTTTCATTTCCTTTATGATTTGTGCATTGTGTGTTCTAAGAAATTGTTAACTACACATGGTTATAAAGGTAATCTTGTTTTTAGAGTCTTTTTCCTTCTACTTTCACATTAAAATTCAGAATCTATTTGGGACTGTTTTTTTACAAATGGTGTGAAATACTCGTAGTTGTCAGTTCCCCCCGTTAGCTGACCAGAGTGTTCCTGGCCATCTCTGTTTTCTGACATGTAAAATAGGACTCAGTCATCACCCTCTGTTGGCTGTCCAGACTGTTCTTGTCTAGTACTGTGTTCTGTCATGTAAAATAGGTGTCAGTGTCCCTGGTAACTATCCAGAGTTTTTGGCCCTCTCTGTGTTCTGTCATGTGAAATAGAAGTCATTTCCCCTCCTCCCTGCCTTGGTTAGCTAACCAGAGTGTTCCCATCCATCTCTGTGTTCTGTCATGTGAAATGGGAGTCAGTACCCCCAACCTCCCTGTTAGCTATCCATATTGCTTCTGTCCATCTCTGTGTTCTGTCTGGTTCCCACTCCGTGGAAGCCAGTGCCATTTTTTAGTTAAGGGAGAAACACAGATGGTTAGATCCATGTTATCTGGCTCCAGAGTTTGGCTCTGACATTCATTAGCTCTGTAACCTTGGATAAATTATTAACCATCTCTGGGCCTCATTTTTCATCTGCAAGAATAGGCATAGTGAAAGTTTTCTGAGGATTAAAGAAGTTAATACATAATTTTTATCAAATCACAGTAGTGCACAGTACATTGTGTTTGCTAATCACATGTTCTAAGTTCACTTGATTATGCCTGCTGTGTTTGTTGAATTATAATATTGAAATAAGAATAATAGTTAAAATGGTAAACATTTATAAGAAGGTTATTATATGCTCTATATTTGTCCTGCTCTACAATGAGGAAATTAAGGCATGAAAACTTCAATTGCTTTCCCAAAGTGACATAGCTGGTTAATGACAGAGCTGTTTTCAAACTTAGGCAAATCTGACTCTTAGCGTTGGTGCTGTCAACAGCCCGAATGTACTGCCCCTATAAAGTGGTGTCAGGTATAAATGTATCTGAAGCTGTAATTTTAGTTTCCAACTCTCTTCAGTATTTTCTCATATGAACAATCGATACTCTTCCCCCATGTTTCTCTTCAGACCTAAAGCTCTCACTAATACCTAAAGTTCAGAGCTTTGTTTTCTTCTGTTTTTTTTTTCTTTTTTCCCTGTCTCTTCAGTAACAAACACAGTCCCTTCCTTGCATTGAGATGCTCTTTATCACTAGCCGTGATTTTAAAGTATATATTATTGATTATGCTGTTACAGTTTTTCCAATTTCTTCCCCATTTTCCCCCTCCACCCTGTACTCCCCAACCCTCCAGCATTCCCTCTCCTTAGT